ACTCAGCCCATCGGGCTTGGCGGCGGCTGAGCACGGACTGTGTTTTTCAGGTGTTGAAGAGGGCGGTGGTCAGTGTAGGCGGTGACGGGCTGTAGCTCCCCGTAGCAGCGCCATGTCGTGAACATCGACCTGTGCGGGCCGTTCCGGGTGGCTGCCAAGGATTTCAGTCTGTACTTCCCGCTGCTGAAGGACCGCAACACCCGCTTCGTGTGGGTGCGGCCGGTCGCTAAGAAGTCCGACGTGCTGCTGGAATTCGAGAAGTGGCTGCTGGTGGTGGAGCGGCAGACGTAGAAGACGTAAAAGTGTGTATGCTCCGCTCATACCAGGGCTTCGTCGGCGTCCGAGCTCTTTTCAGGAAGGTGTGCCGTGCCAACTTCCCACCGACCTAGGAGACGCATGGCAAGTTGGCCCCGGACAATGGTTTGATGCCCCGGTCAACGGCTTGATGTCCAGGCCGGTGACGACTTCGTGCTTCACCGAGCTTGTGATGGTGACCACGCCGACGTGTGCAAGCCTCGCGTCGACCGGTGCAAAGGACCCGGTCGGTGTACTTCGACTGGCCAAGCACGTCTCTCGCCGCCGATACGAGCAGCATCTCGTCGCTGTCGTCCTGCAGCAGCTGTACAACGCTATCCTTCAGCTGGTCGGCCGACAGCACCGTCGGCAAAGCCCTTTAGCTCGACAATCTCCAGCTTCGGCTCAATCGACTCCCTCCACGTGATGAGGTCTCGTCGACTTTGCAGCGGCGCTGGCACGTCGATCTTGTACGTCGAAAATCTGAAGTAGCCATACGCTGGCGCGATCTCGCCCGCCGTCACATGCGTCATCGACGTCGGCCTTACGCTGCTTCGCTGAGGAGAGTGACGCCGTCCACTAGCGTCTTCGTGCGACCTGTCTGTGTCCGTCGTTGACCGCTGCACTCGCGCTTGAGTCCCGCCGACGCCGACGTCGATCAATCACTTCTTCGTGCCCTCACTGCCGCCAACATGGTCACCACCGTTGACTTCCTCATAGACGCCGCCTTCGTTGTGCACCGGTCCAGGAAAAGAAGGCCGGGAAGGGTGTTCTGTCGCCCATTGTGCGCGGATCCGCAAGAGAACCACCTCCAAGGGGAGCACCGGCCCGAACTCGCCAGCCTCGTGGCGTCTCCTCGCATCAGCCTCCCTCGCCTTGTCGGTTTGTTGGTTTGCGGACCTAAGTTGGTTAAGCTGAAGGTATCGTCGCGTGTTCGTTCCACACTCACCGCACCATGTGGAGAGTCATTCTATAACGGTGAGAGCTATACTACGTAAAGACACAGGTTGTGTGAGTGATCGCAGCGTCTCTTCGCGTTCTCTCTACTTGCCCATTCACAAGGAGAATTGGCAAGAGTTTCACTAGAGAAAGTTCTGAACAAAGTTGAACAACGATGGCAACAACAATGGCAAATCTGACTACATCAGAAGCAAGTCTACCTAGCACAAAGGCGGGTCGACCTCCAGCGTAGCAAAGTCGACGACCTGCCAGCACTGCAAGTCCGCACCGCTCCAGCGCTCCTGAAAGGCGGCTTGTCAATGTAAAAAGTCGACGGTGTGCCAATGTCGCAGCACGGCGCTTGTCCAACGTTGCACCCGCAAATGACAGCAGTGCACACGGGCCATTGTTTGCGCCGCTGATGAGCCACATCGACTTCGGGATACCATTCCGAGGTCGGCTTCGCCAAAACCTCCTGGTTGACGGTCGTGCACCCCGCAGAACCTCGTCGCCCTGGTAACTTGGTCGACCAGGAAACCGCCAAGTCCGCGTCGACTTGCACGGCCGAAGTCGACCAACAGCTGTACGTGCTCATCGACCACTTAGGTCGACGGCCACCGGCCGACTTCACCAAGTCGGCTTCCCCAGGTCGGCGTCATGTCGACAAACGCCTTTGTCGACCAACGTCTTGGCCGGCTTCGTCGAAATCGGCTCCGCTGTAGCCAAATTCCTTGGAGTGGGCTAACCCTGAAGTCGGTCAACCACACCGACTTGATCCCCGAAGTCGGCTAACCACGCCGTCTTGGCCGGCCACAAAGTCGGCTCCGCCTTCCAATGAAGTCGGCGTCGTCGAAGCCGGCTTCACAGGAGTCGGCTAACCCATAGGCCGAGGAACCCCTTTGCCGACCACACCAGATGAAGTCGGCTGCTTTGTAGTGGCCCCGTGCAGGTCGACCAACTCCGTCCACCTGCTCGCCTAAGTCGGCGTTAACCATTCCAGACGGTCGGCTGCACCTCCTGCACGCCCGACCACGAAAGTTGGCTCCGCTCAAGCATGGACAGGCCAACTCCTAACTCCCGTTAACAGGATGAGGGGCCCCAAGTTCGGCTAGTAGGAAGAAATGCTAGCGGCGTTCCTCTGCAGCCAAAGTAGTAGCATAGAGTTGGGCTTCACAGGATGAGAGGGTGATGGCGGAGGAGTGGGTGGAGCGCCAACTGACCAAGCCGCTGCCGAGCGTAAAGCCATGTGACGGGTCGAGGAGCGTGT